CCTGGCCCACAGTTCTTGGGTTTGCGCTGCACTTTGGCAACACTGGCACGGAAGAGGCCAGCACCACCTGGGCACTGGGCATGAGAACAGTTCCCATATCCCAACATGAAGCGGGCTTTGTGAAGCACGTCCTTTTATGTCAAGGCAGCCACCTGTCTATTGAGAAGAAGGGGCTGTACATACCAAAGGACACATGAGTCGAAATTTCTCGCACTACGCAACAAAACGTCAACTCCACCCTACAACCACGCGAGGAGCGTGAGTATTCAACCCCCAACCAAAGCTAAAGCACCGGCAGGAACAGGCTTTGTGAAGCCCCTTTCAAGAGCCTTCAAGACACCAAACCAGAACGTCGGGATTCACTCCTGCACCTCTTTCCGACAGTGAAATCATTTCGAAGGCGGGTCCCAGATTACATACAATACGATCGATGAGCACTCTGACCTGCCATGCCAAGAACATATCTTAAAACGTCGAAATGAGGAGGCACAAATCCTCCCAGCTAGATAGCCTTTGATACAGGCAGCTTCCACAATGCCACAGCTTCAGAATCCAAGGCTACCACACGCGCCAGCATGTCAACTGGATCTCACACGCCGTTTTCAATGCTTTCGACGCAACTTCGGCGCACTGCAACAGCGAGCAAAGCCTACGATCGAAAAGCACTGCCCCGATGCGATCCGGCTTCACGTCAAACTTTCAAAGCCGTCAGTTGGCTTTCAAGACGCAAAGACAGTCGATCTCCCTCGGGGGTCGCACTTGAACAACTTTCGCTGACCACCGAGCGTTACTGTCGTTCGTTTTGCGCCAGAGCCGGCTGGCACTAAATATGAGCTTCTCCTTCCGGCCTGGTCTGATTGAAGAATGCTCGATCTCATCAACGAGCTCTTCCCTTCAGCTGTTAAGTGAGCTCAAGATCACCCCAAGAACGACCAGCTTGGAGGAAAGCTGAATGCTGTGTGTGTGTGGTCAAACGACGCTCCACACACGTTGAAAGCGAGTTCATGGACTCGAGCTGCTCAAGCCCAATACTTATCATCGCCCTTACAACCGCAAGAAAAAGGAAGAAATAAAACGGACTGAACAAGCTCATGAGCACTTCATAGATGGCTGTGGATCTCCTGTTGTAGATGTAGAGACCGAACGAGTAACCGACCTTTACGAAACTTCCTGCGATCTGCAAACAGGAACCCAGCTTTAAAAGCGATCTCAAACGCCTGAGCGCGGCAACACTCGCGTCAGTTGAGGCCAACTGCCGGGCCATGAACATTGGCCACCACCTCCTCGAGCAGGTCACCGCACTGGAGAGCCACAGCATCAGCGTTCACCCCACTCGTTCCTGAACAAAGGACTCTTGCAAATCAGCTTAACTCAACGGTGATGGCCAAGATGCACGGGCCTGTGTCCCCGATCACCAACCATAGAGGGGGGCGGTAGTTTTGGTTGCCACGTCCTGACGACCGCAGGCCGAGCAGAAATCCATCTCTAGCCGGCCGGCATGCGTTTTGAAATCAGTCAGGCAAGCTTGTTGCCATGAATCGCATTCGAACTGGCAGAGTGAATGGCCGAGAGCCACAACCACGCCACCTTCTGAATAGGGCGCATGACGCTTTGAGAGCCGAGTGGCTAAGGATTGAGCCAGGTCCTTGTTGAGTCATTGCACCCAACTTCGCGCAAGGTGCGAGTGCGCAACAGTTTGCGGAGCCGCAGATGGTCACCTTGACGTTGTCGAGGGTTCGCACCAAAAACAGGCTGAAATGACATAAAGCCTGTGACGGTGACTTGATCCGGTCGGACTCACATTGAGGTAGGTCAGAGCATTCTGGAAGGAACTTTGGATCCGCATGTCCCCGTTGTCAATTGATCAGGACGCAGCTCTCGCCTTAGCGCTGTTCAAAGGATCGTCTCAGATTTGGTGGGTTGCTCTTGCTGACGTGGCAACTTCCTTGAAGCAGGTGGCTTGGTCGTGCGGCTCAAAAAGCTCCATGCTGCCTGGAGCACAGGCGCGGCTGAAGAGCCCGAAAAAAGAAGCCTTCCCTTCCTGCACAGGTGCCCAGGCCCACGCCCCGAGAGTGCTACCTAATGATGAAAGAGGCCTGGCGAATGGCTGTGGCCAAAATGGCCGCGAACGCCAGAAACAGTGCGGCTGCAAAGAGAGGAAGAAACTGAGCGGTTGAACAGTCGATAGGAAAGTGACCCCCATGTACCAACCTACCAGCCGAACACATGGGACCAGCAAGTGCCCAAACACTCCTGAAGATGATGAAGGAATCAACTCTTCGCTCCAACGCTTTGCATGCTTAGGGTGCCCAGATGTTGCTCACAGTTCACCCCTTTCGCGCATTACTTGATATTCTGTCATCTTATCCCGATTTCCGGTCAGTGGGCTGGTTGGAGCGAGAAGAAGAAGAAGAAGAACATAACAAAATCCTTGAATCAAGCTATGGTTATGCCCGTCAAAGAAAGCAGTTGGCTAAGTCGGCAACAAAGCTCCAATGTCACGTGATGGTCCAAAATGGACAACGTTTCAGCTGTCAGCAAGGTATTGGCATCATCGAGTGAGAGGAAATTGAGCTTGTTCCTAAATTTGACAACTAAAACACATCGTAGATACATACGCAAATGGCTGCTTCATTCAGAACAGCCAGCACCAGTGACATGTCCACTTTTCAGGCGTCCCAGCCTTCTTCCAGTGGCCACTCCTGTGGGATAGCAAACTTGAAAGTTGCGTCTGTCAAGTAGGGTTGGTCAAGTCACACAAGTCAGTCAATTAGCAGTCTTTGACTTTCTGGCACTTCTCAGTCTTAATACGAGGGTTCGGGCAAAATCTCAGACCATGAAAAGTCAACGTTGGCATCTTTCCGCGCTACCCAGCTTGCATGTATGCCTTTGGTCTGAGGACAACAGTCGTAAGGCAAAGCGTTCGAGACTTCAATAGTGTTGCTAAACAAGTTCGACAATGCTCTTCACAATCTACAGCTGGAAGAAATTAATTACCCTCCAACTCCAACTAGTTATATAATGTTCCCTAAAAATCTAGGAACCAAATCATTAGTGCGAGCGCTTCTTCAAGGAAGCTTCTCCCGCCGCCTTTAGGGCGGGGGAAGCTTCCTTGAAGCAACGTGAGCTATCCTGCGTCCAGTTTCTAGTAGCTTACTTGTATATAAGTACTAGCTGTGTATATATATATATATACACTCATCTCTACTAGCTGCCTCTAGTAGCGGCCTACCCCCCCTTTAAAAAAAAAAGAGAGTGCAATCCATTTTTACTGATTTTCATTGTAAACTACCGGGCCCCATGATCTGGTCCGCTCCATCTCCACATCATCACCCCAGCCGTAGACCGGCGTTTCGAGGGCCATGAATCCGTCGGATGAGTCGGTCTCAAGTGCGGAATGGTGAGTCAGGTTGCTAAATCGAAAAGGTGGAAATCGTTTTTCTATGTGTTTCTTCATGGTTTTCTCACGGGGGTTCTAGAAGAGTTGCCATTCTTTGCTTTGTCGAAGAAAATCCTCCAAGAAGGAACGTGGCCTAAAACTTCACGGGACATGAATTGCCGGCTGACTGGCCACATGTCTGGAAGTCGACCAAATGGACTCACAACCAGTCGACCAAAGTCATGGTTTTGAGTGTTCCAAGGTGCGGAACCAAAAATCGTAAGCATGGTGAGCTATTGCATTCCTTTGCAGCGCATGGTGAGCTATCTTGATCCACAACGCCTTGCAAGGTGCGACATCTTGTCCTCACGGTGTGCATTTTCGTGAGGTCGTGTCACCCCATGACAAGTAGCTATAAAACACGTAAACTGTACGTGTGTCATCTCTACTGGATGTGGGTACGTGGGCTTCGGGGTACAATTTGTTTAATTTGGTTTTCCCACCTCATCAGGAATGGGCCCAAGTATCAATTCTGCAGTTTGGATCGAGGTCGGCCGACAATCGATTGCAGCTTGCTGAGGTTTCCACATACATGTTGATCTGTTTTGTATCTCATAGGGGAAATGGTGGAGGCAAAGCAAACAGTGCTTCATCTTGGAAGATAGTGGAACAATTCATCTGTATCGTGGGTAATAGCCCGATTCGAGTCCTTCAAGGAAGACTAGTCATATCAAAATCGACAATGTAACAACCTCAGAAAGCATTAAAGAAGCCACTTCCAACAGCAACCAATAAAAACAGTCCTCTCTTGAATAATGCATAATCAAATGAGCAGTCTATGTCTAGACCCAGTCTTCTCGTAAGTTCCTCTGGATTCAGCACCGAACCGGAATTGCAGTACTGAACTCGCCATCATGAACAAACACTCCTACCTTAGCTTTGATGGGAGACACTGTACAGTATGCATGAAAGTGCAACCCGTCCCAAGCCAAGGAAGTATATAAACACACTCACAGATTCTGTCATGAACTCCGGTAGATTCAGCACCCGGAAGCACAGTACTGAACTCGCTATCATCACC